ATTATTTATCTGAGTATTATTGTACGTAGTGTTAGGGGGGTTTTATCTATCCTACACCCGGTGAAGGTTACACCGGGTGAATCTTTACCGTTGATCTACACATACCAATGTGGGTTTGTGTGTATATGAATGGTAAAGATCTACCCGGTGTATTTCACCCGGTGTAGGATCTCAAAAGCCGGGTTAGGGGCGAGTCCGCTATTTCCAAAGGGCTAATGCAAAAGTACGCCAATTTTTATTAATCTGTCCACCTAAAATCCAAAATAATTACAGACTCCAATTTTTAATTTTTTTTTTGTTTTTCCTTTTCGTATTTTATGTTGTCAGAAAAAAGTCGTAATAAAAATAAAAACGGTACCGAGAAATCCAAAACTGTAGTTTGAGAAAATCGAAAATGAGTTCTTCGCATTTCTTGTCAGTCTCTATGACCAAATCCACCTACACGGAACGATCGACACACATCAGTATATACAAAAATTAAAAACAAACAAACGCGTCCCAATATATAAACTCCTAACATCATCATTCATCAGAACAAATTTCCGAAACCCGAAGAAGCAATCGAAGCATTGCCGAAGTCGACAATCGGAAAGCTGCGCGTAACAGTGAGCATAAATAGCACAGTCCCAACTGTTTTTAGAGTAATACGATTTACGAAACAGAAATTATAGTATGCAAATATTGATTTTTCACTGCAAAAATTATATTGTCGAAAACAGAGAGAAAATAAATTGTTTTTAGTTCTTCAACACTATGTTTTTGATTGAGGATATCAATACCTATAAATAATGGACAACACATTTCAGCAAAGTTGCAGCCTAAGAAATAATCTTCTTCCCAATCAACATATAACAAATAAACAGAATATTCTATTCGGTTAATACGACAGCCTTCTTTTAACCTTGTGCCTGCTGATAACGATTAAGATGCTCGTTCACTTGCAGCCAAATCGACAAAATTCTGTCAATAAAATTACTCTCCCATTAGAAAACATTAAATAATGCTATACCTTTATTTTTTTGTTGTTAGATAAATTTCACACCACAGCAGCTGTAAGAGTGCTCGCATTGTCCCTTCCAAAAAAGTCACGAGAACAGCTTTCAATAGTCTGCGACAAAAGTTATCGAATAAATAAACAATAAATTAAATAAAATCACAATATACCAATGTAATAATTTCGTGGGATCTCGAGCTGATTTCATTAATCGACGTTTCTCCAACTTTTCTTTTAGCTGCAAGGATTAACAAAAATGATGATTTTGTACTCTTAAGCCTTGTTTGGCAATCATGATTAGGCATGATAGACAATATAATGAAGCTCTATCGAATGTTCCCAAACGAGGCCCTAAGAAATCTAACAGTCGTTTTGATTAGGAGCAATGGTTCCAAATTATCAAGAATTGAAACAACGGAGCCTATAAAAAAAATCCAACATATTAGCGTCAAAAGAACCACCCATCTATAGCAATTTGTACCAAACAATAAACCAAATAGAAGAACACTTTCGAGGAAATATCAACGATGCACTTAAAAATACTTTCCCTCGTAAGATCACCTTGAGCTGGCAATGTAAGTTTAGAATGATGCATTAAGGAGGCATCATAGCTGACCCTATTAAAGTCAAAATAGAAATATTAGTTCCAAATTTGGAAAAAAGACAAACAACAAGAAAACAAATGCAAATGGTTAAAGCCTGATAATGAATAGTAAAAGAACCTGATAATGAATGTCAATTTCCCCATTTTAGGGCTCATTCTTTCACGGTCCTATTGCTTGAAGCTATTAATTGCCTGCTTTTAATTGGATGTGTGGCATGCAATAAAAACAAAAGAGCATCATGCCTACGGAAAATGCGCTCTGAAATCATAAGAACTGAAATCAATTATTATCTGCATAAAGCAACATGAGAAAGTAACTGTGGGATTTAAAAAGATTGGAGGTGGAAGATGAGGACGACGATAAATTTTTCCTGTGTTAAATCAGATATTTTCTTCTTCATCCGCAAATATTTGTCCGGCTTTGTGCGCCCCGTGAAGAACACCCCCGCACGAATTGTTGAGTGATTGAATAATGATGCTCACACAAAGGCCTGCACATAATGCCGTTATCAGAAATTAAAACCAAATTATGGAAGGAAACGATTTAATAAAAAATGAATATTGCTGTAATAAATGTCAACACAGAAAAAGAACAGAATTGATAAACCTAGAAGCAAAGGCAACGATTCTGAAAATCATAATACAAGGCAACCACATGTACCCAGATTACCACCTATAAACCAATATCATCAAACTTATACATAGATAACCTAACTCATGTACATGTTTGAAACTCGGATTCCCAGAGAAAACAATGGAAAATTGAAAAATAAAATAATGAATTTATAGATTAGAGTCGCAACACTGACAAAAGAGGCTAGGTATATATATAGTCATATCATATTAATAAATAAAGAAAACAACTACATACCTAAACAAATTAGTGAAGTCTTTATATTTTATTATAGAATTAGAAGTGTAAAATGAGATTAACCTAGCTAAGATGTCACTTTTAATGTGCTTAAAATCAGAGAAACTAATACTCACATAACTATCAGAAACCTTTTATTGTTGCAGCTAATAATAACAGTAATACAACATGATACACTTAAAACTAATAAGAAAATTTCAAAAGTATCAACCTGTACTAAATAAACAAGCATCATTTTTTGATACAGAAGAGAACATGGAATCATAGAGCATAGCTGAATTCTAATATGTTTTACCAGACTATGTAAAATGAGGTTAACTTATTAATATGATGAGCACACGAGACCCCCCAAGCAGATCTGCAATGAAAGTGTTTACATTCATTAGTTGAAATTCCAGTCGAGAATCGTAACATAAATTAAACAATCGATACCAGACCTCATTTGATTAAAGGTAAAAAGAAAAATTGTGCAAACGAAACACAAACCATAAATTCAGCTACAGAGGTTTGCGGCACATTTGCTTGTTTGCCACACGCCTCAATTTTCTAAGTTGTAGTTGCCTCATCGCTTTCACCTGCTTCAACAATGCATGATCTTAAAATAAGGAAAAAATCACCAAAACAGAGCTAAACAAAAACAGAGGAGTCGAGGTAAACGGAATATGAGATAAAATAGATTTTTACCTGGTAAATAGGTCTGGACATGCCACCTATTGCTGGAGGAAGATCGGTGACCATCTTGCCATTATCCAGAAAACCTCTCGGAGTGGTGAATATAGGTAAATCTGGCCTAGAAGATTCCAAGGCATCCCTCATCGACAAATGCTCTTCTCTTGAAGCATCTATCGGCCTAATTGATGGTACATGAGGCAGTTGACCAATAGAATTCATGGGGTTGTTAGAAAATCCACCAGAATATTTCGGAATTCTTTGAGGGGATCTCGTTTTCGCTGCATTTGAATTCCAAGAAGCATAAGAATTTTTAATCGTTGAACCTATCGGTTGTGTTTCAGCAGCCCTTCTAGAAGGTGGTGTAGCTCTTGATGCCTTGTCGTGTAGTTCCATCTTTTTACGCCTCTCGCTTTCGAGCTCTATATGCTTTCACATTCTCTTGCGTGTTAGTTTCAGGCGAAGATCTCTTCAATCTACAGCAATAAAGTTTAAATACACCATGAAATTTATTGATTAAAAAGAGACGAAAAAAGCTAACACGAGAGAGCATCTATTTTACGAAATTAACTATTACCGTCTAAACGGCTGTTGTACCCGTAGCTCCGTGCACTCACACCCACTCTCATTCTGAATCAACAAATCATAAAAAAAAAAATTGCTAATTTCCACTAATACAAATGCACAAGCTAGAAAGTAAATTGAAATAAAATACCAGTAGAAAGGTGAAAGCAACAATCATCTTTTGGCATTGCAAAATCGACGATCATCACTGCTCCGAAAAGACTCCGACGACGGTCTTTTGCTTCCGGATAGCACCAAAGCACTCCGGCGAACTCCATTAGAATCTCTCGACGAATCCTTCACCACCTTCTGCGCATCACGAAAAATGCAAACACCCGCAAAACACACCCACTCTCATTCTGAATCAACAAATCATACAAACAGAAATTGCTAATTTCCACTTATACAAATGCATAAGCTAGAAAGTAAAATGAAATCAAATACCAGTAGAAAGGTGAAAGCAACAATCACCTTTTGGCATTGCTAAATCGACGAACATCACTGCTCCGAAAAGACTCCGACGACGGTCTTTTGCCTCCGGATAGCACCAAAGCATTCCGGCGAACTCCATTAGAATCTCTCGATGAATCCTTCACCACCTTCTGCGCATCACGAAAAATGCAAACACCCGCAGAATTAGCTTAATTATCAAAACGACGACGAGCGGAAATCTCGTTTGAGATGAAAAGTAATTAATACAGGATTGCAAAATTAAGCAGTCCACAGTCGTGGATAACGAAAACAAAAAGGGGTAGATTTACATGAGTACCTGACCGGAGCGGCCGAGAGTGATAGTTACTTGAGGCTTCGCCATTTTATAAATTTCTCAATCAGTTGCTTCTACGGCTGAGTTGACTCATTGATACAGAGGTTTCTGTACTCGCAACCGTTGACGAGCACGCGAATCAACCTAGGGTTGCAAAAATTAGTTAACTGGAATTTTCCGATTGTAGGCGGAGAAATGGCTGGGGGAAAACAGATGGAGAACATATGACGAAGAGCATGAGGAAGAACTGGCATTGCTAAATCGACGATCTTCACTGCTCCGAAAAGACTCCGACGACGGTCTTTTGCTTCCGGATAGCACCAAAGCATTCCGGCAAACTCCATTAGAATCTCTCGACGAATCCTTCACCACCTTCTGCGCATCACGAAAAATGCAAACACCCGCAGAACACACCCACTCTCATTCTGAATCAACAAATCATACAAACAAAAATTGGTAATTTCCACATATACAAATGCATAAGCTGGAAAGTAAATTGAAATAAAAAACCAGTAGAAAGGTGAAAGCAACAATCACCTTTTGGCATTGCTAAATCGACGATCATCACTGCTCCGAAAAGACCCCGACGACGGTCTTTTGCTTCCGGATAGCACCAAAGCATTCCGGCAAACTCCATTAGAATCTCTCGACGAATCCTTCACCACCTTCTGCGCATCACGAAAAATGCAAACACAGGCTATAAACAGCCTTAAAGAAAGAACAACCCAAAATTCTGCATTGATGATCTACCATCTGCCACTACGGAGAGCGAATAAACAACCGTCAGTATGATTACTTTAATTTTACATTCGAAAACACGAAAATAGATGAAAACTTGCCAAATAGTCCTCCCTCACACCAAATTTGGTTTGAATAAAGTTGGAGTGTAGCCGCGTAGGTAAGCAATTGCCAGTAACAGCCGGTCGAGCAAATTCAATAATTTCTGCATCGATTAACAATAAGAGGTAACTAAGCAAGCATATTTACCAATTAAATATCTGGACGAGGAGAGCTAAAGACAAAAAAATATGCTGAAATGTCCTACAAAAAGAAATTCAATTTATATATGCTGATCAACATATGCCTTTATACATTTGAACAATTCAATAAGAGTCAAAACCGTTAGCAATAAAGAAAATTTACTTCTTTGTTCAATGAAGGCAAGATATGAATGAAAAACAACGAACAAAAATATTGTTATTGATAAAATTAGGCAGAAGTTTGAAACTTGTTACCCGATATTTTCTCAACCAAGACGTAATAGTGGTCCGATATCCATTCATACTCTTTCTCCCCCACTTACTGCAATATCGGACACAATTCATCCCCCGCCCAACTATTATTAGCTGTAGAATAGAACCTTACAACCAATCCCTTTTCTAAAACCTAATCTTCACCAAAAAAAAAATCGAAATTTGTTTTTTCCGGTCTCTGAATTATTGCGCACTGATGCCGGGAAACGACGAGTTTTCGATTTCCGGTCCCTAGTCGCCGCCGTCTTCCGCCGCAAACATGGCTTTACCGGCGGAGAATGCGTTGTTCAGAAAGTACGAGATCGGGAAGCTTCTAGGCTGCAGGTGATGAGGACATTAGTGCTAATACATTTAAAGTTTATCGCAGGAAGAAATTTAAGAAACAACAGCTGAACACATTTGCTTCTTTATGGTTATAAGTGTAGTCTGGTGTATTTTCTTAAGTGTTTCAACGTGCCTTAAGTCTTAAGTGTCTAGAAGTGTCTAGGAGTCAGTCAAAGTTTCAGTAGATTGGTCAATCTCCTATGAGTCATTTATGAGAAGTTTGAGAGTCATAAGTTTGAAAGTCATTTGTCTAGAATTTCTTAGGTATTGAAGGGTCATTTCTGCTACTATAAAAATATGTAAGTGCCATTAGGCCAAGCAATGAAGTTTAAGAATAAAATTTCAGTTTCTAAAAGAAATCTGAGTCTTTTCTGTGAAAGAAATTTAGGCGTGAAGCCTCGGGTGTGAAGCCCCTGGAGTGATTCCAGATTCTTCTTTTATTCTAAATTCTTAGTCAATTACTCTGTACCTATCTTTCTCAGCCTTCTACTCTCACCCTATATGCACAGCCCTAACGGAATTAATATTCGCATTAGACTTGAATTAAGCCCTACATTAGAGGATATAAGCACATGCATTGATTCACTCGAATTCTGAATTTTCTAAGGAACACTCTACTGATTGGTTTTACTCGCTTCATACTAAATTATCTACTCTAAGTCCTTTAACTGTATTTGAGCATTGCATTCTTCTTATATTCCTTATCGAAATTATTTTTCTATGAGAACTCACGCAAATTAGTATAGTGCTGCATCAATTTTGGCATCAGACCAGGTTCAACCTAGGCTTACATTCTGCATCTTTCATCATTTTCGAGTCAGCATCTTATTATTTTATTTATTTGCATCTAGCAGTTAATTGTTAAGTCCCAGCACATATTTGCATTAAAAAAAAAAAAAAAAAAAAATTGCATAAACAGGTTTCAACAACTATGGACCAAGCACATATTACTCAAGTTTTGGAGCGCCTGTCCAATCAAATTGCCCAGATTGAGAACAGAATGCAAGAGCAATCAACAAATTCTGAGCGCCGCTTTGCACAACTTGAAGCCGCAGTCCAGAATGATGATGATGAGAGCGTTGCCGGAGGACCGCGAATGCAAGCTAGAAGAAATGTGCGCAGGCCACATAATCCACGAAACAATGGTGCAGATGGTGCTGATTTGGATGAAAGAGTGATGAAGTCGGTAAAAGTGGAGGCACCTAGTTTTGATGGACAATTGAATCCAAGGGTTTTCCTAGATTGGCTAGCTGATATGGATCACTTCTTTGCATGGTATGAAATGTCTGAAGCTCGTCAAGTCAGATTTGCTAAAATGAAGTTGGTAGGGCAAGCCAAACTGTATTGGACCAGTGTCGAAAGACAAATAGAGAGAGCAGGAGAAGAGCCAATCACCTTATGGGCTGAAATGAAAGAGAGACTTCGAGAAAAATATGTTCCGTTATCCTATCGTCAACAACTGCTGGATAAATGGCAATCTCTTCGACAAGGAAGCATGACCATTGCAGAATACATTTCCAAGTTTGAAGAATTAATGTTGAGATGCAATGTAACGGAAAATGCAGCAGTTACTCTTTCGCGTTTCAGAACAGGCCTTCGTCATGAAATTCAAAGGGAATTAATAACACACGATGTGGATTCGCTGGAGCGCGCGTACCAGGTTGTACAAGAACTAGAGCGCTACCTAAACTTGAAGGCAACAAGCACCACCAAGAAGATTGAGTTTAATGTCAAAGGATCGCAAGCCTCTACATCCGGAACAAAACTCAATTCTGCACACAAGGGATATAATTCTGCATTTCAGACAAATAACAAAGGAAAGGGAGGGAGTGAAAATGTTCAGCGAGGAGAAAATCATCGGTGCTATAAGTGTCAAGGCTTTGGTCACTTTGCTGCCCAATGTCCCACAAAAGAAACATCCAAAAGTCTTTTTACAAACGAGGTTGGGGAAAAAGTTGAGTACGAAGAGGAAGTATATGAACCTGATTTCGAAACTAATGATCACGACCTCGAAAATGGAGAAGATGGAGAAGATGTTCTTCAACAATTGGGAGTGGTGAGATGTACATTAGCTCAACCCACCGGTAGCGAAGATTGGCGCAGAACAACCATTTTCCACACTTATGTCAAATGTGGTGACAAGAGCTGCAAATTAATTGTTGACAATGGAAGTTGCATTAATGTGGTATCAACTCACACCGTATCTCTTCTAGGTCTGACCCCGGTCAAGCACCCTCAACCATATCGGGTGGCATGGATCGAGACCTCGTCAATTCCTGTCACTCAGCGCTGCAGGCCATGGATATATGATAATGATGTAAACATTTCGGGACGATCCAACGCGTGCTCATTCATTCATAATGGAAAGAAGATCACTTTGAATCCTCTCCAGCCAAGGGTGATGAAAGACTCAAATTCCAATCAAAGAAATCAAAACACACAGCAAACCAAGTCCTTGCATATTGTCGGCTCAAGAGAATTTATTAAGGAAACTAAGGATGCCTCTATTATTTTTCTGGTGGTGGCAAAAGAATCTTCTCTCTTATCCAATGTCAAAATGCCATCAGAGGTTCAGTGTCTCCTTGAAGAATATTCTGAGCTATTTCCCGAAGGTCTTCCTAACGAGCTTCCACCTCTTCGAGATATCCAGCATGCTATTGATCTCATTCCGGGAGCAACACTTCCCAACCTTCCTCACTACCGAATGAATCCAAAGGAGCACGCAGAGCTGAAAAGACAAGTTGATGATCTTCTTGCAAAAGGATTTATTCGAGAAAGCCTCAGTCCTTGTGCGGTGCCAGCCCTCCTCACACCAAAGAAAGACAAGACATGGAGGATGTGCGTTGATAGTAGAGCCATAAACAAGATTACAGTCAAATACCGATTCCCGATACCTCGACTTGATGATTTGTTGGACATGATGGCAGGAGCAACCATATTTTCCAAGATTGATCTCAAAAGTGGGTATCACCAAATCAGAATTCGGCAAGGAGACGAATGGAAAACCGCCTTTAAAACAAAGGATGGTTTGTATGAATGGTTAGTCATGCCCTTCGGTCTGACTAATGCACCAAGCACCTTTATGAGGGTCATGACACAAATCCTAAGACCGTTCATTGGGAAATTCCTAGTTGTCTACTTTGATGACATTTTAATCTACAGCAACTCGCGAGAACAACACCTTACCCATTTGAAGCAGGTCTTCATGGTTCTCCAAAAAGAGAAAATGTATGCCAATTTAAAAAAATGCTCATTCATGACACAGCATGTTGTCTTCCTCGGATTTATCGTGTCATCAGAAGGAATGAAAGCTGATCCAGAGAAGGTAAAGGCGATAGTTGAATGGCCGGAACCTAAAAATATTCATGAAGTGCGAAGTTTTCATGGGCTAGCTACATTTTACCGCCGATTCATTCGTGGATTCAGCTCCATCATGGCTCCTATTACAGATTGTATGAAGAAAGCGGAGTTCGAGTGGAATAAAGCTGCTGCCAAAGCCTTTGTCGAAATCAAGGGCAAGATGATTAATGCTCCAGTAATGCGCCTTCCAGATTTTACTAAAGCCTTTGAAGTTGCTTGTGATGCATCAGGAGTTGGAATAGGTGGAATATTAAGTCAAGAAGGACATCCGATTGCATACTTCAGCGAGAAATTAAACGGGGCAAAGCAAAATTACTCTACTTATGACAAAGAGTTTTACGCAGTCGTTCAGGCTTTGAGATATTGGAGACATTATTTGCTGCCACAAGAGTTCGTTTTGTTCTCCGATCATCAAGCATTGCGCTACCTCGGTTCGCAAAAGAAATTAAATCCACGACATGCAAAGTGGGTCCAATTTCTTCAAGAGTATACGTTTGTGCTGAAACGTAAGTCTGGTGTTGACAACAAACCAGCCGATGCACTCAGCCGTAGGGTTTCTATTCTTCAAACAATGAAAGTGGAAGTTATCGGGCTGGAAAAGTTGAAGGAAGATTATCCAGAATGTCCTGATTTTGGGCATTTATATGCTGCCCTCTTGGAAGATCAGTCAAGAAGCACGGAGTTTATTTTACAAGATGGGTTCATGTTCAAGAATTCGAAGCTTTGCATTCCTCAATCGTCCCTAAGACAATTTCTAATCTTGGAGTTGCATGCTGGGGGTGTTGCCGGTCATTTTGGCAGGGACAAAACCATTGCCTTAGTAGAAGATAGATTCTACTGGCCCAGTCTAAAACGTGATGTTGCTAGATTGGTCGAACGATGTCGAACTTGTCAATTGGCGAAGCATAGGAAGCAAAATACAGGTCTGTACACCCCTCTCCCAGTCCCACATGCTCCTTGGCAAGACATTAGCATGGATTTCGTGCTCGGATTACCTACAACTTTAGGGAAGCATGATTCAATTTTTGTAGTTGTGGATCGTTTTTCGAAAATGGCTCACTTCATTCCGTGTTCCAAGACATTTGATGCTTCTAAGGTGGCAAAGGTTTTCATGGCTGAAATTGTTCGATTACATGGATTACCCAAGACTATTGTGTCTGATCGAGATGTTCGATTCATGAGCTACTTTTGGAAAACACTATGGCATATGATGGGTACCAAATTGAAGTTCTCCACCGCCTACCATCCCCAAACAGACGGACAAACAGAGGTGGTAAATCGAAGCTTGGGTAATCTGTTGAGGTGCCTAGTTGGTGAACATATCAGGTCATGGCATTCTATTTTACCTATTGCAGAGTTTGCATATAATAATTCAGTTAATAGGTCGATAGGCATGAGTCCATTTGAGGTAGTCTATGGTCACAAACCTAGAGCTCCCATAGATCTCATACCAATGTCAGTTTCACATAGGCCATCTGAGTCTGCCAATGCATTTGCACAACACATTCATGACTTGCATGCTGAGATTAATCGTAGAATTAATGAAAACAATGAAAAATATCAAAGGTCTGCCAATGCTCATCGTACATTTAGAGAATTTTCAGTAGGTGATTTTGTCATGGTTCGAGTAAGACCTGAGCGATTCCCTCAAGGAATTGCAAAGAAGTTACAAGCTCGTAGTGTTGGACCTTTTAAAATTCTAAAACGGGTAGGATCTAATGCATATGTTTTGGAACTTCCTTCTGATATGGGAATAAGTTCAACTTTTAATGTTGAGGACTTAATTCCGTATAAAGGGTCTGTTGTATATCCTTCTAGTCCTAATGATTCCATACAACCCTCGCTTCCTTTCTCTACTTCTGAATTTTCGTTACCAACTCCACATTCACCCCCTAAAATTGTTAACAAAGACGTTGTGGAAGATATTGTTGATGAACAGGTGGTTTCAACAAGACAAGGCGGATACCAAAAGTTTCTAATCAAATGGAAGAACAGGCCAAACTCAGACAACACTTGGGTTACAAAGGAGGAACTGCAACGTATAGATCCTGACATCCTTGAGCGATACTACAGTTTTATCTCGCCGGAGTCGAGTTTTTCTCAGCCGAGGAGAATTGATGAGGACATTAGTGCTAATACATTTAAAGTTTATCGCAGGAAGAAATTTAAGAAACAACAGCTGAACACATTTGCTTCTTTATGGTTATAAGTGTAGTCTGGTGTATTTTCTTAAGTGTTTCAACGTGCCTTAAGTCTTAAGTGTCTAGAAGTGTCTAGGAGTCAGTCAAAGTTTCAGTAGATTGGTCAATCTCCTATGAGTCATTTATGAGAAGTTTGAGAGTCATAAGTTTGAAAGTCATTTGTCTAGAATTTCTTAGGTATTGAAGGGTCATTTCTGCTACTATAAAAATATGTAAGTGCCATTAGGCCAAGCAATGAAGTTTAAGAATAAAATTTCAGTTTCTAAAAGAAATCTGAGTCTTTTCTGTGAAAGAAATTTAGGCGTGAAGCCTCGGGTGTGAAGCCCCTGGAGTGATTCCAGATTCTTCTTTTATTCTAAATTCTTAGTCAATTACTCTGTACCTATCTTTCTTAGCCTTCTACTCTCACCCTATATGCACAGCCCTAACGGAATTAATATTCGCATTAGACTTGAATTAAGCCCTACATTAGAGGATATAAGCACATGCATTGATTCACTCGAATTCTGAATTTTCTAAGGAACACTCTACTGATTGGTTTTACTCGCTTCATACTAAATTATCTACTCTAAGTCCTTTAACTGTATTTGAGCATTGCATTCTTCTTATATTCCTTATCGAAATTATTTTTCTATGAGAACTCACGCAAATTAGTATAGTGCTGCATCAGCAGGGCCTTCGCGAAAGTGTACCACGCTAGGGATATTTCCAACGGCCGGAGCGTCGCCGTGAAAGTGGTGAGCAAGAGCAAGCTCAACAACAATGTTAATCTAATGGCGCACATAAAACGCGAGATTTCGACCATGAGCCGGCTGCGCCACCCTTACATCGTCAAATTGTTCGAGGTTCTCGCCACCAGGACGAAGATTTATTTCGTACTGGAATTCGTCAAGGGCGGCGAGCTGTTCGCGAAGGTGGTCAAGGGCCGGTTCTGCGAGGATCTCAGCCGGAAGTACTTCCAGCAGCTGATCTCCGCCGTCAGCTACTGCCACCTCCGCGGCATCTCCCACCGCGATTTGAAGCCGGAGAATCTTCTCCTGGACGAGAACGGCAATCTGAAGGTCTTCGATTTCAGTCTGAGCGCGTTGACCGACCACGTCCAACAAAGCTCCACATATTAAAATTCTGAAATTCTAACAAACAGACATATAGTCTATAGATGCAGATTCATGATCAACCACAATTTTCTCTAAACAAATCAAATATAACATATATAAGTAAACAAACTTAAATAACATTCATGTTTATCATCAATCATATGTTTATAAATTCATGGATTGGTACCTCAACAAAGGGGGAAAGGGTGAGCGATCTCCGAAGAGAGATGGGGCAGGGGAAAAGAAAGTTGCAGCCTCATATGTATGGTTGGAAGAGGGTCGTCGAAATCAATGAACGCGGCGGTCAGCAGCGGTGGCGGTGCGGCGGCAGAAGGAGGAGAAGAGAAAGGGGAAAAAGAACAAGATTCAAATAGAGAGGAATTGCGGTGAGACATGGAGAGGAAGAGGGATTTGGTAAAGAGATAAAATTTGTGCAAGCCATATCCACATGTGGGGGGCAATTTTTTTTTTGGGGTCGTTTTAATATCCAGTTTTTAAAATAGGGTTGTTTTTAGAGTAGTAATTAAATTGGTGTTGGCCGCCACCGGCAACGGCGGCACCGGCCGGAGACGCCACTGCCAATGGCGGCACCGGCTGGAGACGCCGCCACCGGTGGCGTCTTCTACTGGATTTTTAATATTTTAATAATTTAATATTTTAATATTATAATATTTTAATATTTTAATATTTTAATATTTTATTATTTAAATATTTTATTATTTTAATATTTTATTATTTTAATATTTTCTTATTTTTTAATACTTTTATTAATTTTTAATATTTTAATATTTTCTGATTTTTTAATATTTTCTGATTTTTAATTTTTTTTTTTACAAATAAAATAATTCTAACTACATTTTATTAAATTTATTACATTTTATCAATTAGATTTATTACATTTTATCAATTAGTGTTAAATTAATCATTGCATATATTTATCTAATTAACACAATAAAATATGTAGACAAAAACAAAAGGAGTTCTAGAAAATAGAAGAGTTATATAAAATAAATAGGTCCAATAAAAGAGTTATATAAAATAAATAGGTCCAAAATGAGTAAAAAGACAAAATGAGTACAAGAAAATAAAATTGGCACTATGAAGTCAGTGCCTATGTGAACCAGTGCCACATGCAGGTGCTCGTCTAGTCCTACGCGGCCTACAATCTCGACGAATGTCAGGATCTGCCGGTACATCATCAACAAACTGGGTGTCATCCGGTGGATATGGAACAGGGGAAACATTATACTGTGGTCGGATCCGCTCTTGGGGACTTGAGTATCCCAAATTGAGCTCCAAATGTGGACCCCATGAAGAGAACCGAGTATAAATAGCAGGAGGATGTGGGGTAGCTAGAGAATCGGACCATGGCATATCTGGAACGTAATCATTCGTAGATGGACCAACTAAATCTGTAAATATGGGTACCTGAGATGTAGACGCACCGAACATATCCATAAATCCCTGTGTAGTAGATAAATCGTCCATACCTCCATGCATAGGAACATCTGCATAAAAGGGTGTATGGGAAGCAAATGGACCGGCAACATCACCAGATGGAGGTACCCGAGATGTAGATGCGTAATAGTTCCCCTCTCTTGTCTGTCTCACGTCATCCTCAGTAGCTCTTTCGGTAGCGCTGGACCTTCTTCTGGTACGTCTATCTCGATGCGGAGAAGGTATAGGAGGTATGGCTGGTATCGGAGGTAAGCTGGACGAAGCACCATCTCTACGTAGAAGTTGAGTCCCAGCTGCATACATCCGTGTAGCGTTGTCCTGAAACAGATCATATATCTGATCGTCATCTCGAGAAACTGCCCTAACAGCAAGACTCATGGATATAAGCTGATTACCCTGAAATAAAAGGCATTACAAGTTTAAGAACTTAAGAAACTGAAAAAACAAATTGAAAAACATCGAAAGTAATGGTTGTTTTGAGAAAAATACTAACCACAAGATCCAGTAAAATCGGGTTTCCAACCTGAAAACCAATATCATCAAGATTGTCAATCGGTGATATCAAACGACGTGTGTGCCTCTCATACCACTCGTAGTATCCTGGATCTGTCTGAGGCCCACTAAACTCAATAAATGGATAGTCAACGGGAGAATCAAGTCGGTCATGCCATCTATCAACATAGATACGGTGAAAACGAGCCCAATCTCTACCTCCTGCGCCTCGACGATCATAAGAATGCAACTTAATCTCAACATCGTGATCAGTAGGATGTGGTGGTATATGTTGTATCCTACCAAACTGACGTAGCACCCTATACGGACGATGCATCTCAACTCTCTCGTAAAATATAAGGGGACAACTCGACAACCAAAGCTGTGGATGCACTATCTCAGGATACCCAAGTAAAGCGCCAAACTCAGGATCTAGTTCACTATAAGGCATCCATGTAAACTAGAAAAAAAAATATTTTTTTAATATATTGTTAAGTAGACCAAAAACATTAACGTAATTGCTGTTAACTTATAAATAACCTGATCCCAGAGCATCCGATCGAGCGTCGTACGATAAACACGTATATTATTTCGCGAGGATCGAGTGTGACTAGTAGGTCTGATCCAACTGTAATATCATATGAAAATTTGTTAAGTCAATATATTAACCTTCATACAAATAAATTATTAGTACTAAGATGTTTACCGTGCACCGTAAGGAGGGTGTGGATATGCAAGCCGACGGGGATCATCTTCTACTACTGGTACTATTGCTGGAGCGAGTAAAGGGATCCTCGACCATGCCCAAATCTAATTATTAAACATAAAAAAATATAAAAAACCGCAAGAATAATAAACTATTAATTTAAAGTTTAAAAGTATCAAAAATCCCATTACCTGTAACAGAGTAAGCGCACCACCTAGATTAGTTTTCCTCTTATCCAACTCAACAGTGCCGTCTTGTTCCACAACTTTCCTAAGTAAAGCCCCAGTGCATAGCTCACGATACAAATATCCAAGAACTGCACTACCCCAACTGAAAGTACGCACCGCCTCAAGATCTTCGAAATGACGAAGATACAACAACGAGATTGCACTTGAAGATGTGTCAGGACACATAATCCCCCCAAGTAGCAATAACAGTAAACACCTGACATGCTGCTGAACACGCTGCTCTGTGCTATCATCGGTAATCTTGCAATGTTGTAAATATATGGCCAGATCAGTTGCGTAGAGCCTTCTCCCTTTGAAAGCTCGATCTGAAGGAGTATATCCCAACCACGTCTGACAATAATCCTGCCACTGCTCCTTCGACCATGAAATATCCTGTCCAGTAACAGGTAGTCCATCAACAGGCAAACCCCATAATAATGCGACATCCTCAAGTGTCACTGTCGCCTCCCCTGCTTGAAAATGAAACGTGTGTGTCTCCGGACGCCATCTCTCCACTAAAGCTGCAATAAGATGCAAATCGACTACGAGACGACCACATCGATATACTCCATAGAACCTAGTATCAACTAAGTACTGCATCACTCTAGGGTGTGGATCATCATCACCATCATCTCCATATAAACCCCAAATCCAACAATCACAGCGTCTCCCGCGCACAATATCATCCACGTTTGCCGATGTAATCGATCTAGATACGTGCTCTGACTGGCCGTATAGCAATGAAGTGTCTCGCGAACCATAAACATAACTGACATCCATCCTTTATAATAATATACATAGAACACTCAGATAATATGCACAAGTGTAATAATAAATACACGCTAATAAATAAAACACTAAGATAGATTCAGATAATAAGTACAAATGCAAAGTCAAATAAAAAGTCAAACACGATAATAAGAGCCTACTTAGTTCGACGTGAAAACACGCTAATACATAAAAAAACTCAGATACAAAGTCAAACACGATAATTAGACACTATGTAGTCCGACGTGAAAACGTAGAAAATAATAATATAAATAATACAACTATCGGAGCCGTCTTGCTTGTTCATCTCTTCTAGATTGTTGTCTTGCCCTTGTTTGTGGCACATCCATCTCATTAGGAATTCGACTGCGTCTTCGATCCCCTAATAGTGTTGGATCATGAATTAGTTCAAAACCAACATCCTCCCAATAGTGTTCACTCAACAGTGGTTGGAATATCCCAGAATAAGTGTTCACTAATCGATCAACAGTGTACCAATCGTTCACATATACGGAGGCAGACAACATCCATTCACGGCACACGTGGAGGACATGACTGCAGGGGATTCCTGTTAGCTTCCATTTTCCACAAGTACAAGTTTGGTCCCTTAAACTCACGGTGTGTTTGTTATTTCCACCTCCACCTGGACGAGCTTTAGTGATCACCTCGGCAGAGAGCAGTTGCTGATTAAAACGAGTTGTGTAACATCCAACAGACTTGGCTTCATGTTTCCGGTAAACGCCATAAGCATATGTGGACCACAACTGTCCTCTCTGAACCATCAAATTGGCCTTTTCGAGACGATTAAAAAAATACCTAAGAATGCGGTTGAATGTGAGGTCAACAATTGTTGAGATGGGAAGTTTTCGAGTTCCCTTGAGAACACCATTATGAGCCTCTGACATGTTTGTAGTAAGCTGACCACAATGATTGCCCCCATCATGTGCAAATGCCCATTTTTCTTGATCAATATCCTTCAAATAATTATAAGCTTCAACACTCCGAGATTTGATCACATTAAGAATGTGGTTAAACTTCCAAATTTGAGACTCCGCTCCCGCCTTGTAGCATAGATCCTTCAAATCTACACTCTTAAAACGTTTGTTGAAATTGGAGCACACGTGTCTCAAGCAAAACCTGTGAAAAACATTAGGGGGAGCAAATTCGGGCAACTCCGCTAAAGCTCGTAAAATTCCCGGAGCTCGATCTGAAATTACACAAACGCTTTCTCCATCTGGAATTTGAGAAATTAGATGTCTGTGTAGCATTTGAAAAAACCACCTCCAAGCCGCCGTGGTTTCATTGTCAACAAGAGCAAATGCTAGTGGTAGCACTTGGTTATTGGCGTCCAAGCAAACGACAATTAGTAACTTGTGCTTGTACTTAGTGTACAGATGAGTTCCATCCACACTAATAACTTTTCGACAGAACTTGAATCCATCCAAGCATGGCTTGAAGGCCCAAAAGAAGTACTTGATCATCTTCCGTGTTGGAATGTCTGTTGGTTTGAAAACCCACTCAATTGCCGTACCCGGGTTCGTTCTATGGAGTGCCTTCATAAACTTGGGCAGTTTGTTCACTGAGGACTCCCAACTCCCGAACAAGTTATCTCTGCAACGCTTCAAACCATACCAAGCTTGCATCTTTGAAAGTTGAAATCCCAATTGAGACCACAATATTCTGCGCTTGTGATATTTTGCAAGCTGGATCATCTCGAACGGACTGAACCAATAAGGCAGCAATGTAGTTCCTGTCCAAATTCTTGTGTTCATTCGACATTTCATCCATTATGCAATTGTGGGGCCCACCATATCTCGTAATAAGGAAGAATCCTTTGCCCGATTTTTCAATTCCCCGTAACGACCATCTACAAGGCCTTTCAGGTGTGCTATG